CACCCAATCTCAATTATTATGAGCATTCACTAATTTATGTGCTCTCGGTGCCAGAAATATCTGCATCTGCATTGTTTGAAGGTGCCATATTTACATCTGCTAATATGTTATCTTTTCATCACTTTCATTTTATTGCCAGTGTTACACGACAACTGTGTACATTTATGTCCAACTCTGGATAAAATGCAGAAAGTCAGTGGCCTCCCTGACTCTGTCGCGCTCCCGCTGAAGTGAGACAGAGACAAACGAGTCATTTCAGCGATACATGGCAAAGCAGAGAATACTGCCTGGGTTAAACACGGCCGTGTCATAGCTTCCTCTCGGCCCGCTCCTGACACCACATGCCTTAAGCGACCCAATCTCGTATTATGCACCAAAGTCTTTGGTTGGCGAGGGTTGACAGGAGCGCCCTAAATGAGCGAGACTAATTGAAATGTCAGCCACAGAGGCTGATTTTCTCCTCACAGATGAAAGCAAAACAGGCGCAATAATTGAGTTGTCAAATCTATCAGAGTAAGTTCTTTACATGTGGACCGGAATGCCCTGAAGTGCTTCCTTGTGCTCAGCTTAGCACTTTGTTTCTCATTCGTCACACTCTCAGAATACTCCCGATGAGCATGTCGCAAGCAATGGTCGCTGAGAGAAAACAGAAAGTCTTTCCTTGTGGAGTCACTGAAATACCACATTATGGTCCTTTTGGAGCTTACAGCACAGCAACGTCATTTCACAATCTCTGCTCCTCAGCCCGCAGCCATTAAAACAATTCATTAGAAGCACAAATGATGCCTCTCATTTCCATTATTTTCTCTCTACTTGTGTTTTGGCTGCTTGAACATACATGCATTTGTTGAACGAGGCTCGCCCTTTGAATGCCCCTAATTGACAATGACTGCTTACCTTCTGCCTAGGACACACGAAACAAATTATGTCAATAGAATCCCCCTGAAGAGAAAAAGGCCTGGCAACTCCAGAAAGGAATACTTCGGAGAACAAGAAGTTGAGTCCGGGATAGAGACCTGCAGTAAAGCTTGGAGTCCAGCTCCAGCAACGTGCTCCTCAGCAGTGAGGCCCTGGCACGCAGTGACAGCTGATTTTATTTTAGAATCCCCCTTCGTAAAAAATAGGATGGACTTACAGGAGAGGATTGGTGCAATCGCCTTGGCCTTTTTTTAGATTCGAGTATCGAGGTACCCGGCATGCCCTTTAACTTATGTCACAGCAGTGTTATGGAAGCCGACATTACAGTAAGTAAAGGAAAATACGATAATAATTGGACTGTCTATTCACCATCTGCAGCACGAGGTTACTTGTTCTCAATTTAATGAGCTCCAGCACTTTGTGACCAGTACTCATTATAATGGCTTGCTTTGATTTAAAAACACACTGTCTTCTATGCAAGCCTTTCTGTTTTTTTTTTTAATGGGGTAATACATTCAACAATTACACATTTTGACTTTGGGCTCTAACTGCACATATGCTGGTATTCATTCAATAATTGTTGTTTTAATTTTCCTTTTCATTTTACCGCATGTCTTACTACCATAAATAAATCACATTGCAAGATTTCAATTAAAGCTTTTTTTTTTCTTGATCCTCTTCAGATAGGTCATGCAGACGGGTACAATTTATGTTCTTTCAACATTTTCAAGTGAAAACTGCCTGTCATGAGGCCAAGAATAAAATCAGGGAACAAATCCTCCTCAATTCTAAATTAATTCAGGTAATCATCAAAGCTCATAATCATAATGCTTGTCGTCAAAAGAAATGCCTTAAGATTTTAACAATTTTCCTGAAAGTAGGAAATTCATTTGCAGTACCCACACATACAAACATTCCATTCTGGCATTCACTTCCAGAGTTTTTGAGCCATTGTAGTTACGGTTTCCCTTGGAGGGCCCTTATAACTGTGAATTCTGTGCAACCATATAAATGTTGAACCACCTCCACATATCACATCCCCAGCGAGTAACAAGTAGATGGATAACTAGTTTTGACATCAGAATTCAAGAATAATGGATTGTTTAAACATTGTAATTATTACATTATATATGAAAATTTGAAATTTTGGTTCAGACTTTAGCAAGCTTGCTAAGCATCATGAAAGTTGATATGCTTGAATTGCTTACGCGGGCCACATAAAATGATGTGGTGGGCCAGATCTGGCCCCGGGCCTTGACTTTGACATCTGTAGAATAAAAAGTTGTATTTCTTACATTCACATTGTGTCTAGCAGCAAACTTAATTTTTTTTGTCTAGAAGAAAAGCTAAATTGAATAAAAGTCAAAGTAAAAACTCAAGACTACATTGTGAAAACGTATTGATAAATGATAAATATTTCATGCTATGTATCAAGATACTTTTAATATTAGGCCATTCCTTTTGGCCTCACGGACAAATAGGTATATACTGCTAGCTAGCTAGCTAGCTAGCTAGCTGGATGGATAGATAGATAGATAGATAGATAGATAGATAGATAGATAGACAAACAAACCAATGTGCTGAGAAGCAGAATTCTTCCTTTATTCCTGCTGTGGCCTACAGCATAAGCGAGGATCCTTTCATAAACCACTGACCACAACCCAAAGCCTTTCGTTCATTCTTTCTGGCACTGCAACCTTCCCGCAAAACAAGATTGAATCCATTTCACATGAATTATTCATGTCTGTTTTCTCTATTATTAGCCGTGATCACTGGTGTTTACTGACTTGAGCCCACCCCGTGAGCTGTTGTTGGCAGCCCATTGACCACAGAAAAGTGTGCTTATTGGCCCTGAGGAGAGGCTGTTCTCGGTTGATAATCCCACTGAAATTGCACATGGATTTCCTGTTGCTAAAGTAGAAAATAAACATACTCCCATAGAATACCTAATGGAAGCCGACTGTATACCAACTACCCAAAGTGAAAATAAATAATAGTGTAGCTTCTTTTTTTCTATTTTCTTTTTTTTTTTCTACACAGAGGACCCATTTGTGTTTGTACCTGTGTTTTTGAGTGACAAACAAGTTACAAGTTCAAAATTAATGATACCTCAAAATTGAAGCCCTACCACCACCTACCAAGAAGGATTGTACAATTTAGAAACCTAACAAAAGTTTCCAGCTATAAAGTTAGATATGTAAGATTTCACTCGAGCTCATTTCAGACAGCATCAAAGGTTACACGACTGCAGGTTTTCGCTTTTTCTTTGGCTTTTCCTACACCACTTTCACAACGGGTTGCCGACTTGGTATTATAGCTGCAGCATTTTAATCAATTTAACATTTGACATTATCCATTCATCCAATCAGTTTGTATGCCGCTTATCCTCATTAGAGTCGTGGATGAGGTCGCGCCTTAGCTCAGCTGACTTGCGTGACAGGTGGGGAAAACCCTGGGCTGGTATATTTTGTTAGTGATTAATTTCTATTTTGACATGACACTGTTAATTAAAAAATATGATATGCAATCACATTTTATAACACCATCCACCTTGTGTGTTTTATTTTTTATAAAGACTGCAAACTGAATAGTAAGTAGGGGTGGGGGTCAATTAAAAAAAAACATCAAATTAATTAGTCTTTGTAATTAATCTAGATTAATCACATAACAACTGAATAAAATAATAACTGAACAGACCAAAAGTTAAAGTGCTATTTAAAGGCATCCACCCCCACCCCCAAGACATTTTGGCCTTTAAATATTTGCTGAATGGCAGTTGGAAAATTGGATGTCATTATCTGTAACACATGTTCTATTGTTTTATTTCCTACCACTATTGGTCTGCAGGCCTGAGCAATCCACTTGGCAATTGAATTTGTCCGATGTTGATGGGCTAGTCATTGGATCGAGTTTGGCTTGCTTCACACTCTTACTCGGACTGCTCGTGCTAACGGCTCCAGCGGTTTCTGGGCTCGCTGCCGCTTTGTCTATGTTTAGATGGTGTCGGCAGCAGAGCCACTTATTCAGCATGCCTACATAGTGGCGACATTGGTGGCAGCAATGTTCGCATCAAAAGCAATGCATGGACATTGACAATTACTCGCAACTTGCTGAGGTTTACTTTTTTGCTATCGTTGCAGCATCGGCTATTAAAGAACAGTTGCAAAAAAGATGAAAAATGCCATCTGTGAAAGGTTATTTACAGGTTTCTCATAGTGACTGTAAGGTGTTGTGTATTCAACACAACGTGCAGGCATCCTTAGGTTTTCATGACATCCACTTTTGTTGTGACTGGATTGTTTTTGGTTGGGTCCTTGTCAGTTGCTCTGGTCCTTTATCTGTTGTCACCTTTATTATATAATACAATACAATACAATAAATGACAACTAGACATTACCAAGTATTATAGTATTATACAGTGCGAGTTGTTTACAGCCTCTTAGAGCCGTGTGGTTGTAAAGTCTGCCTGCCTCTTCTCTTGATCCCGTGTTGGTCTTGTGAGGTTTTCTAAGGTCTTGCAAGACGCCATACATGGTAGCGGTTTGAACTCGAAAGTTTTGTGCAACTTGTGGTGTATTTTTCCCAAACCTTTGCTGATATTCCCAACTGTTACGACCTCGAGGGCAATCAACTTTTGAGCAGACTCTGAAAACTGAGCTGTGAATTAACTGGGCCAGCACACACACACACACACACACACACACACACACGCACACACACACACACACACACACACACACACACACACACACACACACACACAAACACAACTCTAAGCACTGTGAAAGTTAGGTGTACACCCCACTATCACAATCAGCTGAAAACAAACTAGGGGCGACTTCTTCAGTGTTGCTATCGCAGTCTAAAAGCAAAGAATCTAAAAGACACAGTTATCTTCCAAGAGCCAAGGTTTCTTATTAAAAATGTTCCAGGCAGACAGTCTTATCTGGCAAGAATAATCGAGTACTTCCAAGCTGCCGTTTTCCATGTTCGACAGCTGTATTTGTCATTTGAAAGAGCCAGTGAAGGACATCGGGCCTCCTATTGCACATCCACATTACATTTTCATTGCAAGTACTCACAGAAACTGTCATCCAGACAAAAGGCCATTGGCTTATCTCGGGGTTGATCGGGCAGCACAATACATCTGGATGTTACTCGTTTGGATGGTGATGCATGGACGCTTGTCACTTCCTGGTTGCAGAAGGAACAAAAAGGGGAAGAGCTGTTACATAACACCCGTGCATTTTTTTTGGGTTTTTTTTTGTTTCCTTTTGTTCTTTTTACTGTGGCAAACGAAAGGTGGCACCTCAGGTCATGGAGAGTAGCTGCTGTTCGGACAATTACAAGTACCCATGTATCAAAAGCAGGGGTGTAGCCAGACATTTTTCAGTGGGGTGGCCAGGATGGCATAACACCTTAATGAGGGGGGAGAAGGGGTAGCCATGCATGTTTCTGTCATTCTTTATCACATCATCCACAATCAGGTTTCCATGAAATGAAATTCACACCTATCCATAACAATGCCCATCACACTCATCACCAAGCGTGAAAAAAAATCGAAACACAAAAACAACATCTTGCTGATCTTATTTTTTTTAGATTATGCCGTTTTTTTTTTTGGGGGGGGGGGTGGCTTCGCTTTTGTGGACTAGCTCATAGTTTACTTTAATCTTATGCACTGATTTGTGAGCTAACAGACAGTCAGTGATCAGTTGTCGCAGATGGCCGACATCATTTTGCATATTACAATCAATGGCTCATTCATTCAAATCATATCTAAAACATACAATGGCCCAATGGTCTCTTAATTCTTCATAATTGCCGCTTTTTGCAAAGTGTGTGTGTGTGTGTGTGTGCGTGCGTGCGTGCGTGCGTGCGTGCGTGCGTGCGTGCGTGCGTGCGTGCGTGCGTGTGTGTGTGTGAGAGTCATGATTTTGATTGATGTTGACTGTAAGAATTGAATTTTCTTTGCATAAAGAAGTATTAGTAGTGATAAGACGCACTAGCCAATCATGATTCCTTTATCTCAGAGGTGCAGGTGTGTTTATGTGGAGTTTCTATGATTAAATAACTAGATATGGATTCAACAAAAGCCTTGCAAATGTGACCAGGATTGTACCATGTTTAGGCAATGCATAGGGCTTTGCTTTGCTTGTCATACAATGTATTTTTTACAGGCTACAATCATGTGCATTTGTTGTGATAATGTCGTAGTAGTTTGACATGGTTGTGGAAATACGCACATATAAATGTTCGTCGTGTATTTCTTCATTTTTTTTAATGGAATATTGAGTTTTGACAGATTGCGATTTGCCTTTCCATTATATAAGCAGATGGAGGAGGCTTGTCTCAGGAACTTCAGGATGATTGTCATGAAGAGCAATTCGTACTGAAGGCATTATGGGTTTAAAATTAGGACCGTAGTAGTTATTTCACCATTCCCTTTTTTTTTTTTTTTGTAGAAATGTTTTCATTTTGGGTGGATGGTTAGCATATCCGCCTCACAGTGTAGAGGTTGTCGGTTCGATTCCGGCTCTGGCCTCCCTATGTGCAGTTTGCATGTTCCACAGGAAGGCCAGGCCAAGGAATCAAACCCTGCACCTCTGTACCGTGAGGTCGACGCGCCAGGCTAAAATACACACACACACACACACACACACACACACACACACACACACACACACACACAGAGAGAGAGAGAGAGAGAGAGAGAGAGAGAGAGAGAGAGAGAGAGAGAGAGAGAGAGAGAGAGAGAGAGAGAGAGAGAGAGAGAGAGAATGAATAAAATGTACCCATTTAAAGAACAACTCAACTTCAGAAATCATGCTGTGGTGCTGCTCATTTGGAATTCTTAGACATAGACAGACAGACAAAAAGTAGATACTAGATAAATAAATAACAGTGCTATAATAGTAATTATTATTATTAATAACTTTTAATCATAATGTAATAATAGTGTTTAGTCAACAATATGAAAGTCATAATCTGACATCATCACACTCCTTCCCTCTAATTACCGCAGTTGATCTGACACAGGTCACAGTAAAACATAACCTCAGCTAAAACAATGCCGACTGTGCACACAAGTTCAATCAAAAGATTCTCCAAGATTCCAAAATTGTGAAGAAAATTATTTTTGGGGACAACAAAGGCAGAGGTACTGCTGAAAGATGTCCTGGTTCCAAAGGCAGTGGGTGATGTTCTTAAAACCTGAAAATCACCCCTCCCATTCTCCACAAAGACAGATCCCTCGAATAAAGGGAACAGCAAGATGTTTCCCCTTGCTGTCCAATACTTCAGTCCAGAGTGTGGCATCACCATCATATATCCTCAAATTCAGGCTATTAAATTATTGTTAGAAGTGTTAAAGTAGAAATCTTTGTTTAATTTATAGCCCTTTTTAAGAGCCTATAGCAGGGGTCGGCAACCCAAAATGTTGAAAGAGCCATATTGGACCAAAAAAACAAAAAACAAATATGTCTGGGGCCGCAAAAAATTCAAAGCCTTATAATGAAGGAAACACATGCTGCTAATAGAAACGTGTGTCGCAGGCTGTGACACAAATCTTCGTTGACAGAAATGTTGAAATTTAATATTTATTCTACAAATTTTTACAGCATTGGAAAACGTTAAGAATGTTTGTGTCGTGTTTGTCCTCCTACAGAAACAATGTCAAAATATATTTCCCTCTCCCATATTTTTCCATTTTCAAACATTTTTGAAAAAGCTCCAGGGAGCCACTAGGGTGGCGCAAAAGAGCCGCATGCGGCTCCAGAGCCGTTGGTTGCTGACCCCCGGCCTACAGGCTATGCTCAGGTTCAGGCTACTTTAGTCAATACAAAATAACAATGTTCATTGCTAAAAAGCACTTCAAGCGTTCTTGACTTCTCCTTCCTTACTGACCACCAAGTGACCCCAGGGCCCAGAGGCTAATACACCAGACTTAAACGAACATTAAAATGTTACTGCAACAGCTGAAGTTAGTTGACAAAACTGCTGTAAGATTTCTTGCTTCCAAAACCGCACAATATGGGTACGTGAGAGTAAATATTTTTTTTCAGAAGCCAGATGGGGATGAAACCCATTATTTTTTCCAATATCGGTGCAGCTCTACACCATCATGTCGCATTATATAGTTTGATCCATGGGGAAAGTGCATGTTCAAATGACAGTCTGACACTGAAAAAGTAGGACAAACAGATACAAACAGCGCTGCCCATCTGGTCTACACATAATGCACAAGGAAATATGGATGAGCCGCACGGAACACATTGACGGGAACTGCACTCGGTTGAACTTGAATAGATTCTGTTCTGCAGTATGTAATTAATTCTACTTGTTTAAAGAAAAAAAAAAGCTTCAACGAGGACGCGTCCTTGGTGGAATGTTTCTCTTCTGCAAGCATTTTGTCACAACTTAGAAGTCAGCAGACACGACATGTTTTTCCATTTTCAAATCCAGTGTGTGTGTGTGTGTGGGTGTGTGTGTGTGTGTGTGTGCGTGTGTGTGTGTGTGTGTGTGTGTGTTTGCAAATGTATGGGTGTTTGTTTTATGCAAATTATGTTTTACCCGTAGCAGTCTTTGAATTGCATCCTGCGGGGCATCCTCACTGAGCCACTACAGTCACGCAATGCACACGGTGCCCATGGCAAAATTATACAATTATTAGGTGTCAAACAATATTTGAGAAATTGCTCAAAAAGAAAAAAATGTTGTCTTTGTAACTGCAAATCTCTAAAAGACTTGTTTTCATTTGCATCCTTTCTCACAGTATCACAGTATCACACACACTCACTCATCATAGATAGTCCATAATCTTTCCCTTTTTGTCAGTGTCATTCTCCCTTTCTTTCTCGGGTGACGCTCACCTCGAATGAAGCTCAATTCACTGAGCCGCACAGAGCACTGTTACATGCTCTAAACTGGCTCCCCAGTGTTCCAATGTTTGACAAAATGTGTATTTGACTTCTCAACAGAAGGAACCACAAATGTCACTCACTGAGAACACGTATTTTAGAAATGGCAAGGCGTACAAATGTATGACAGGAAACTCTATTATAGTGGTGGCAATGGAATCTACCGTTTCAAATTTAGGGTGCTCAGCCGCAATCAGAAAATTAATTATACAGCACTTTGCAAATGTTATATGTTTAAAACAAATGCACGAATACAAACATTGGAAGGCGTTCTCCTAGTGCCCACTTCTCAGTGATCTGTGATCTCCAACTTAAAATCATCCTTCCATGGAAGTCTGCTTGCAGTTCTTTACAAATGTGCTTCTTATAAATGTCTTTGGGCGCTCCGATCTGCTGCACGGACCCAGCAAGTCAGCTTCTGTTTGTCGATGACTGTGTACACCTTGCAAGCTGAATTTAAAGGTGGGAGCCCATTAGCCGTGAAGCTAGTGGACAATGTTCACGCCTACAACGGTGCAAACCGCCATTTTTAACTGTGCACGTCTTTGAAAATAACGAAAGAAAGGAAATTTCACCCATGCGCACAATTTGACCGCGCTATACGCCAGACTTGTGCTGGTCATGAAAATAGAGCCTTCAGTGTAGCAGAACAACTCTGTGGGCTACAGTCAGGAGACATCCAACAGTCTTGAGACGTTCATAAAAATTTTAATCAGACAATCTTGACTACATATCATCACTTCAACTTGTGTTCAAGTGTTAATACACATTTGCATCTACAGTACTTCTTTGGTCCCTGTGTGGAGGGAGAACAAGGGGGTAGTAGGAATGATAATTAAGAACGAATTGTGGAAATGTGTCTGAACAGTGCCAGTCCTTCACAATGGAGAATCAATTCACGGGGGTAAAAATTGGATCCACGTAAAAAAAATTCAGCTCATGAGATCAATTCTGGCCATCTGGGGCCATTTCCTGTGTCATACACCAGTAATAGTGAAACCATGGTAACAGTGATGTGTGCATCATATTGTCTGGAGAGATGACACTGTCCCATCTTTCAAAGAATCCTCATTTTGTTGTTTGCCTATGAGAGGAAGAGGTAATTGGTCAACAGTCACACAGAGAAAGTTCTCATTTTTGTCTCATGCCAACTAATGACATTTTCGTTCCCCACAAATAGTCTTTGCTCCTATTTGGGTTTTTTAATGACATACCCTTGTGCATTTATGGTCTCTGAAGAGTGCTGTTGACCTTTCTCTCCATAATGTGATTCAT